ATGCTGACTCTGTAAACCGCTTAGAGAGGGCTGAAAGCCCTATGAAGCGGTATATAAGTCTAACTGCTATTGCTATTGCTATTAAATCATTATTTAAAAATAAAACTGAGGAAATGTGTTGATAGTTTTTTTGTCCACCAAGAATGTCATTTTCATCTGTTCTGAATTACTTTCATTGAAATATCAAGACCAAGTCTATATTTGCTACCTCTGAGGTTAGGGAAAATCCAGGGGAAATGTTCCCAGCCACAGATTAAGGCTTATAGTATAGAAGCAGACAGAATCTCTTGTGCCAATGGGCAGAGTTTTCCACTATGTTCATTATTTAAGGACTGCCCTCCACAACTGAAGTCTGTGTTTCTGGTAGGGGTGGAGTTCATCTCTGGAAGTCTTCATGCACTCTCTTCTAGGAAGCACCTCTTGACTCTACCACAGACCGGAAACAACATGTTTTCCCAGCAGTGACTGTGTCCTGAGTTTTCTACCAGCAGGAGATTTCTGCCCCTGCTTTTCCTTCAGTATAAAGCTAATCAGTTTGAATCAGATTTCCCAGAATTTGTTTGAGGGAAGAAATATTCCTGTTAGTTATTGTTCCACATTTTTAATAACTTACTTTCTTTAAAAGAAAGAAGACACAAATTCAGGGACATAGAATAGAAAAATATTGATGGTGATATTGTGACTTTATTTAAGAAAAGAGAAGACCTCATACTCTTAATTATTAGAATCCATCAGGAAGCAGATATTTTAGTTCATCAGTTTTTTTGTGTTACTTTGTAGTGATAACATTGATGGATTTCATTGTGTTATTCTATTCTGTGTTATGGCATAAATGAATGCATTTTAGGACTGAAAGTACATGAGAGAGAATATTGCTTCCAGAGAAATGTCGTATTTTCCAACACAGAAAGAGAGGAAGATCAGATCCGAAGTTTGCACTCTTATTATAAAGTAACACCTAATTTCCACATTTAAGCGATTTAAAACATTTATTTCTATAATTTTGATATCTTTAAAATTGTTTATCAAATAGTGGGTACCTGGAGTTCTATCTGCAGAACAAACAGTAATTTTTGGGGCATTTATGCCATTATTAACTATAACATTTAAAACATTTAAAATGATTTCAGCTGTAGTATTCTCTAATTCTTCCTGCTTTTTTCTCAGTATGTTTAATCTACGAAACAATACATCTGGCATATTCTTACATTAGTAGTAGAGTGGGTATATTTCCTTGAGAATAAAATACCCATTTTGCTGCTTAATATTGAATTTATTCTTTGAAACAAGAAAAAAGCACAATATGCTAGAAGTTTTTGAAATGTGAATCATATCACATTTTATTTTATTTTTACTATTTTATTTTATGAATAATATAAAGCAGTAAAGTACAAATTCTCTACATAACCAATTTTGTTGTACTTAAATACAATGACAATAAAGATTATACTTATACATTTAATCCTGTAAATATAAAATAAGAAACCCAGATTCTAGAAACTGTATAAAACTGAACAAGCACAGCCTTATTTTTAATATAGCTTTTTTATTTGGTTTATTGTTCCTTTCTAATAAGAACGTTTTAATTTTATAAACATCATAATTTTATAAACATCATGGTTCCATTGTATGTGATATATAGGTTTTAATATATTTATTATGGAGTCCTTGGTGCTCTCCAAGCTTGATTGGTGTTCAGAGATTACTAAGGACTCTACAGTTCAACCCTGAGCTATATATATTGTTTTCTGTTGGCAATATATTTATGAAAGATATTTATTTTTTTACCATCATTAACCCAATGAAATAATTAATTTTAAATTTAAATTTTACATTAAAATATACTTTAAAATGTGAATGGAATTAAACAGGAACATTGAACTGTGTTATGTTCTTTTGTTCTCGGCATATCTTTGTAATTTGTTTGCAAAGCTGCAAATAGAGCAAGAGCCAGTTTTTATTTTATATTATATTACATTTCCTGTTTGGGTCACTTGGCTTATCTCTCTGTTTTCCTTTTATCCTCGAGTATACTAAACTTCTTTCAAGGATGTCAGGGTGGCATTTTAACACCTAAACCAGCGATATAGTTATCCTAGATCAGTGGTAGTCAACCTGGTCACTACCGCCCACTTGTGGGCGTTCCAGCTTTCATGGTGGGCGGTAGGGGTTTTGTCCGATA